TTTCTTTGTAGATTTTTCTTGGAAACACTCTGATTGGGGAATTTTTCACAAAGGTGGCAAGTGCTACGTCCATTTTGGCAATGGCATTTTCTGCATCTATGGATGGTGTGGAATATTACCTTCTCAAACGTTTCCCCATTCATTATGGTATGTATGCACGAATGAATGAACATGTGCTTAGTACTAGATAATTTTAATGGACTAAGAGAAGCTTGATGAAGCAAAAACTTGTGATATTTTATGGAGATTATAATGTTAAAGTATGGATATGGTGTTGCAGCACTGTGCTTGGTAGGTGTAGCGACTGCAGCTTCACTTGTTGGACAGTATTTGGTGAGAAAGGTGGTGGCCATATTGGGGAGAGCATCTGTGATAATATTCATCCTAACCTTCACACTGTGTGTGAGTGCAGTTTTACTAGGTAGGTGTAAGATGGTTTTGTTTTGCAGATTGTGTTAAGGCAAATGTAAAATGGTTTTATTTGGTGACATGACAGGTGGAGTAGGAGTTGTACCATGATCCAAAAAGATTGAACGCAAAGAGCACATGGGATTTGGAAACCTTTGCATGTACACGGCTAAAAATTAAGGTTCATGAGGCCTAATATTTAGAGGGCTGTTTAATGCAGTTTTGTATTGTCTTTGGTTCCACTATACCACATTTTTGTATTTTTTTAATGTATACTTTTAGTTCACTTGAAACACAAAAGTTCATTGTATTAGTCATCAAATTGCAAAAATTGATCCTGAGGTATACTTTTTGGTTCAAATTTTCTCAGGGAGCACGGCTTTGGCCAGAAGAATATTTGTTTTCTCTGTATTTCTAAATGTATTTAATTTCTTTATTCTTGAAATTCAATCGAAGCAATCTTTGATTTCTGTATGTTTAAGAGCCTGCATGGAATTAATATCTCGTCCTTTAGGTTGTTAGTTTCTTAGAATTGTATGTGTTTAAACGAAATCTAAATTCCCAGAATTTGAAAACAATAAAAGAAGAAACTGTAAGAAAAAAAGAATAAAAAGTTGCATTGTATTAGAGGGTTATTCATATTTTATCATTGACAAAGGTTCAATATATATGAGTCCTAGACCTAGTATAAGTAATTAGCATTTATGAACTTCTTATATAAATCAAGGTGTTTTATGACTGCAAAATAAATCGTCACATCACCCATTGAGGACAGTTGAAAATATAAAAATATTTTAAACACTTAATAAAAAAGAGACTCAATTAAAAATTTATACATTTAACATAGACTTAAAATTTAATTAACCAGTTTTATTATTTCTCATGTAAAAGCACAAAAACAATAAGGATGCAAAGTAACCCTATACCCCTCCAAGAACTTAATTGAAAAAAAATACTAATATTAAGTAATATTGAGTACTCGATGAAAGAAAATTTTTTAATAAAAATTTAATCGAAAATACTCAAATTTATCAGATCTAAACTTTAATTTAAACTAAAATTATATTAAAAAAATTTATATAAATTTTTTATTAGTATTGTGAGTTTGTTTTATAAATTTAATTTTTAATATTAATAAGAAATAACATTCCAATTAAATTCATATTAAACTATTTATATATGTATATTTAATTTAATTTTATGAAATAAATAACATAATTTCTTTTTAATTTTTTACAAGCTGACAACAAAAGGCGCTACACTTTCAAATCTTATTTTTCTATTTAGAGGACAACCCAATAGAAGCTGACCTGTTTTCATGGTTTTGGATTAATTTTGTCTCGACTTTCATATATTTCTATAGTTTTTTTATTGACTAAATATATAGTTCCTCAACTAAATACCGTTCATCAAGAACCTTAGAACATTGATATATCAACGTTTTATCATTGTAAGCATTCATTTGACACACTCAAATTCTCTTCATCTCTCTTTTTTCTTTGACAACAATCACTTATTACATTCTTCTTTTCTCTCTCTTCTAATCTGGTCTTCGTAGATATATATGAGATTCTGAATGTTCTCAAGGGTTTCCCTGAACATCATTAGTGGGCTCTGTACGTACAAAGGTCTCCAAATCCCATGTACTCGTTATGTTCAATCTTTTGAATCATATGTACAACTCCTACTCCACCTGTGACCAAACAAAACCATTTTACACTTTTCTCATAAAATGGCACAAACACACTCTACAAATAGAACCATCTTGCACTTACCTAGTAAAACTGCACTAACACAGAGTGTGAAGGTTAGGATGAAAATGATCACAGATGCTCTTCCTAGTATGGCAATGGCCTTTTTCACTAAATGCTGTCCAACAAGTGCTGCACCAGTGGCTATGCTTACGAAGAAAAGAGCTGCAACATGATATCCAAAGTTCAACATCAAAATTTTCACTGGAACAAGTTAGTGTTTTCTTAACTCATGAATAAACTAATTTTATGTTATAGATAATTTGATTAACTTTTTTCTAATTATCTGGTAGAAATGTCATGGAAAGAGTAGTGTGTGTTCATTCAAACTTACCATAAGGAACGGGGAAACGTTTGAGAAGGTAATATTCCACCACTGCCATAGAGGCAGAAAAAGCCATCACCAAAGTGGATGTAGCACTTGCAACCTGTGTGGAAAATTCCTCAGTTAGAGTGAATTCCAAGTAAAATCTGCATAGAGTTTAAGGCAAATAAAAGGGTACCTGAGGAGGAATTCCTAGACCAAGGAAAAGGGGTCCCAAGATGAATCCTCCACCAAGGCCTAGCAAACCAGCAATCATGCCAGCAAGTGTGCCACAAGCACAGAATAGAACCAATTGCAGCACACAAAAATTTGGTTGTTGATCTCCCTTGGATGCTATGATTCTCTTCCCTTTGTATAGACGCACAGCCTCATATGAACTCATTCCTACAGCTATGGGAACCTGAAAGTAAATATATAAGTAAAATGGTCAGCAATCACCATTATAATGATCTTCATGGTTCGTTAAATTCTCCTAGGGTAGTTTATACCTGAAGTAGATTCATTAGCCAATATAACCGTGAGCAAGTTGTTGTGTGTTTCTGTTGATTTCAAAACAGAGGCATCTGTTATCATCATATTATGTTTACCAATGCACAGAAAATGAAAAACTCAAAGTTTGAGTCATGGATACCAACTTTTGCAATCTCTAATCCAAGAATCATGATCCATCCAGAAAAAAGAAGTCCAAGTTCCTTCCAACGAATGTTCTCAACTAGAGAAACCTGCATGAAAATTTCAGATTTCAATAGAGAGAATAGATGTTGAACATATATGGAATCAATAACTTTCAGTATTTTGGACAACCTTTTTCTTTGGTTCATTAATATCTTTGGCAGGGTCTTCTGTTTGAATATAATGTGCAGCATCTTCAGGAGTTCCAACGTCTGATTAGATAAAATAAAAAAATAGCATAACATGTCTGATAAACAGTTATATATACAGAAAGTTAGAATGGAAATAGTATCAAACAGCTTACCTTCAATCCGTGAATTCTTCTTAGCTTCCTGGAATCATAACATGAATGCATGAACGAGCATCAGAAACTTGAAAGAAATTTAAAACATAAAGAGGGTGATGTTTAAGGAAGCAATTAATTAACCTTCTTCATGATGGTTTCTTTCTTCCATGTATCCACACCCTTCAAGAAGGATTTAATTGAAATGCCTGTTTAACATTCAGATTACATCAGAGTAAAGAAATTAACGGAGCAAATCAAGAGTGTCTAAATTTTGAAGCTTGATCAGTAATTCTTACCAACGAAAAATATTATTAGCAAAACTGTTAGCATCCACTCAGGAAAAATAACATTGAAAGCAACTCCAATACTGATTCCAAGCATCAACATGGGTTGAAAGAGAAGTGCTAAGTCATAATCAATCACAGGCAAATCAAGTGTGGGGTGTCTCTGCCTCAAATTGTAGAAAACTGTTGCTGTTGCTCCACCAGTAATCATGCCTAGTTCATCAAACAATCAGATTCCATTCGTGTGTAAGTTTCCAAAGAACAACATTCAAATTCAAAATGAACAGTGAATGATTTGTAGTATAAATTACTTTTGGTGTAAAAGAAGTTTATAATTATTTTTGTATAATTTTAAAATATAGTTAAAAATAAAATAGAAATAAGGATGTTTATATAAATATAAAAAAATGTTATTGTATACTGTAGTAAATTATTGATAATTCAATTATTTTTTTTTCTCACATATGACTGCTTTCTCTTTCATGTTCATGATAATCACTCTTGCCTCACAAATTATATTCTGATTAGAATAAATTTTTTCAAACGTTGTAGTTTTTTTTCCTGATAATATTATATTCATATTAAATTAATTAAGCGTACAATTGACTTCTAAAATTACCGAAAAAAAAAAAAGGTAGGGCAAGAGCAGGAAAAACGATGAAGAAGAAAGTGGTAACAGAGAAAACGAGACGAGATAAAGACAGACAGGAAAAAATAAGTCAAGTGGAGAGGGGAAAAAAGAAGTGAAAGGAGGCCCAGAGGGGAGGGTCGGGGAAGCAAAAAAATAAAAAGATGAAAATAATTAAAATAGTATAGGTAAGGAAAAAAAAAAAATGAGATGGGATTATTAGATGAAGAAATTAAGAAGGCGACAAAAAACAGTGGAAAAAAAAGAGATAGGGTAAGGATGGGAAAAAAAAGAAGAAAAATAAAAGAATTTAAAGATGGGGAAAGAAGAAACCAAAAAAAGAAGAGAAATGGGTGTCTAGGGAGGTGAAGAAATGATACACCGGGGATGGGTGGATGGATGAGGAATGAAAAAAAAATGAAAGTGCGAGAAAGATCCTTTGTGTTTTTGTGTGAGTAAAGAAGTGAANAGATCAAGTGCTCAATGATTTCTTCCAGAACATGAGTGCAAGACAATTTGTTACTTTCAAGAAACACAAAGCACTCATTTCACTCAGTAGATAACATATGAAAGTACAAAAAATTTACAAACTCCTTCGAAGTTAAAAGCTTTATTTTCAGTAATTACTCACATCTTCCAGAGTATTAATTGAAATTGAAGTTAAAAGAGAGGTTGAGTTTGTAGCATTTATAGACAGAAAAGTGTAACTTCCACATCAACAACAACAGTGATAAGTGAAATAAAATAAAATTATACCAAAACAGTGTGCAAACAGGCAAAAGAAACATGCTAGACATGAGAAAGTGAACAAACACACTATAAATTAAATTTGGTGACATCCTTGCATTTCTAAAATAATAATGTAAGGTGAAACACAGAAAGCTCCATACCTATTTCTTCCAAACATCTCTACTCCCTTCAAGTATAATTCTTTCTCTAGAGGTTTCCAATCTGAGAGACCTGGCATCCCATCAACTTTCCCTTCCATTGAAGGGGACAACTTCTTCAATTCTGTTTTATTTGTAGGGTCTTTGGGTCCATCCCCAATACTTTTGTCATGTTCATCCGTATCGCAAGTGCTAGAAGAGTCTATTAATTTATTGGAATTATTATTAACAGATTTGTCCAAAATTGCACAAGTAATAGTATGTTTACTTTCATCGCATGCACCCAAAAGGTTATTGCTAGAATCACTATTTACAGTAATTACATCATCTGAGATACTCTTCAGTTTTTTATTAGAATTTTGAGAACCATCGGGAAGGGGAGTTGAGTCACAAAGTGCTGTGTCAGACACATTTGTGACTTTCCGTTTCTCCACACTTACTGAGATAGGAACATTTAAATTGAGAGATCTATGACAATCAACTTCTGTTGGAAAAGGTGATGTACTCTGATTACCAGGTTCCTCTATAGTGGAGGGTGCCAATATCCCATCTGCCTCTTCCATAGTTGTAGTTCTCTTATTTTGATCAGACCCAGAAGTTGCATCTTCTGACACACCTTTGACTTCATTTAACTGCTGGTAATTGAAATGGAAATCAAATACAAGAAACACCTGAGTTGAAATTGAAGCTGGGTGCAAAAGTGGGCACCCATAGATAAACAGACACACGCATAGAATCAATCAGCATATACTACATCTAAAGCACACCTTAATAAGTTAACATGCCTCATACAAAATTATTGACTGGGATTACTTTACTTCCAATATAAACCAACAGAGCACAGAAATGCCACCATATCTATTGTATAATAGTCTACAGTCAATGAAAACCTGTTCAACTGAATACCAAGAGAGGGGGAAGGGGGGGACGGTGTGATTAATTTCATCTTTGAGAATTGAAATCTAGTAAACAATTCAAAATTTGCAAATATATATCTCAGGCAAGGAAAAATACCTTAAGGTAACACTGATCACTGCATGGTTTCTTGTCACCTTCAGGATCAGACCATACTGTCTGTTTTTCACTCTGAAGTAAACCATCAAATTAGCCTTGTGGATGAGGTGATTATGAATTGAGTTTAAAATAACACAGGATACAGTTACTTACAGGATATACTAAAGGTTGAGAACAGCCATGAAGACGACAATCAAAAATCTGCTGTATGAAAAGCAAGAAAGAATGGATGCACTTACTATGAGATGATAGAATGATAAAAGTATCATGCTTTTAGCACATACCAGGCACCGGCGACAAAAAAGATTATCAAAAGAATCTAATGCAGCACTCAGGGTTTTCTCTGGAGAGATGCCAATAATAGATTCAGGATCTCCTGAGTTTTCCGAAGGCTGATCCAACCTACCAATGTTCTTTTCCTTAATACTTTTGTACCTCTCCTGCAGATTGTTTTCAAAATTTCTTCCAGAAATAAAAATGGCTTCTCAATATAAATCACCACATGCATTTTTTTCTTTTGAAGTTAGATTAACAACCATGAAGCATAATCTCGTTCCACAAGTTATGCAAGATACCTGAAATTTCTGAACTCTTGCCCCAACAAATTCGCTAACAATATTCAGTACCTCCTCATTTAACCCATATTCCTCAAATGCCATCCTAGTAAATCAAATAACCAAGACAGTAATTATAGAAAGGGAAAGCCTTGAACATTTCATTAAAGTTTATAAATGTTATTAAAATTCTTGTGCGATCACAATAAAAGTATTGTTTCCTGAATACTAAGACAGTTATTTGCACTCCAACAGAACATTGATCTTACTTGTCAATTAAATGCTATTCATATAGCTAATGAGAAATGTTACAATCAAGATTATTCTACTTCCATTGAATCTTCACAAATAAATGGACCTTGTAAACACAGCTCTACCCTATTCATTCTAACTTACCACAGAACACGGTCTTCAGCCTCAGAAAATTCATGTTTTTCTTCCTCATGTTCTGTTAACTCTTCCTCACTGTCACTACATATCAGTGCTTCACTTCCATGTTGATCATAGTAGATTCGTCTTCTTCCAACAACTGACTGATCTTCAGCCATTCTCTGATTTCTGATGCATGTGAAAGATTTAAAATAGCATAAAAATATTATACAATCTGGGTACTCACTGATCAATAAACTTTGAAATCTTGGTTTCTGTTTTAAAATGGAAAGTAGGTAGCTTCAATTTGAAAAACAAAATTGCACAACAGGCCCATCAGGAGAGAACAATAATTATTTGAAAGTTAAAACACCTGTCCAGAAATATCCAAGAGGTATATGGCGGTAATCTTTCAATATATGGTATTTTGATACTTGTAGCAGATAATACATCTTGATTGTTGTGGTCTTTGTCTCCTGAGACCGGAGAGAAACCATTGAATTTACATAAAGGACGGTCAATTCTAGAAAGAATTGGAATTTTCCTATTTTCCTCTGTCTGTGAATAACCCCTTGTTGATATTGTTGATAGGACTCCTGAGGTATGACATTGTAGCTTCTTCTCATTGCTCTGAATTTTTTCCTGCAGAAATATAACTAAGGTTGATTGCAATGAGTACAAAAAGAGCCCTCTCAACATTGAAATTTTCCATTAAGTGAATTCAAGTTCAAATTAGCAATCATAACATAAAGTTGTACCCAGAAACATTAAAAGGAAAACTGCTTGCACCTCACACAAAGACTTGTCACCAATATAACCAAATTAGACTAATTGACTCTCTGAAAATGTCAAACAAGAACTGAAATAAAATTTAAATGTTACGAGATAGAGATTAAGACAATCTTCTCGAATAAATAGAAACAAAAAGTTATGTCTTCAGCAAACAAACTATACAAGTCTGGATACTTTCCTAGAAGAATAAAGCTAAGGCAGCATAAACCCGGTGTCAATCTTACTTTAATGTATACAATTCTCTCCGCCTGGATTTGCTTTTTCAACTGATTTATCTTGAGGGACAAGGTTCCCAATGCATCATTTGCAGCCTCTCCAAGTTGTTTCTGTCGACATTACAGAAAAAAGTTACCACGTTAAAAATACAAAAATAGAAAATCATAAAACAAAATCCGCTATATGCAGTAGCATGTAAAATTTCAATTCTCACTCATGAAGCAAAAAGACCATTCAATTAGTAACGGAAAATCTACAAGAAAGCAGAAACCAACATTGAAGACTAAGCACATCCAAAAGCCCCCTACTCGCAACTCAAGTGTTGCGATATTCAATTACAGAGAGATAGAGGAACAGAGAGCTCTTAATGATGTTCGCTCGTGAATCCCATCAAATTAAAAATTCTATACAGGCATAAGCAAATTCTGAAAAGCAGTTACAAGGTGAATCAAGAAGAAAAAAAATAGGGAATTGAAACATTAAACAGCAGTTATTCAGTTATTCTTGAATTGAAAGGAAGAGAGAGAAAACTGACTCGAGGTTCTGGAAACGGAGTCTGTAGGTTTGGACACCATCGATGATGTGCCGTGCAGTGTAGAGTCGATCAAAGGAGGAAGAAAGACTCACTAGCTGTGTGCTGTGTGCTGTGTGAGAAAGAAAGTAACAGTTTCCTAGCTATGACACGTTTGGTTACATGGCCTACCGCGGAAACAAACGCAACGTAATTTTTGGGTGGTTGCGTATAAATGGTAAGGTATGCCACTGCTATTTTCTTAGTTATATTTTACACTGTTGCCTGTATTGTGGGAGGTTAATTAAGTTTCATTTGGACTGATTCTTGCACTTTTTTTCTTGTTGGTTGTGGTTATTGGGAGGAAACGATCATGATATTTTAACCATTCTTTTTAATAATTTTTTGACAATATATTACTATTTTATTGTTCTATATATTTAAAACGGATGAATTATAAACTATACCTAATTATTAAAAAATTGTCAAAAATGTTGTTAAAATTATTGGGAACGTCTTTCATTCGTCTAGTTCTTTTAACTGTACGAAAAAAAAAAGTTAAAAAATATATGCTAAGACCATTTCACTAGGTATAATTGCAATGAAAGTATCTGATGAGTTTTTTTCAATTTCTTCTTGCAAAAATTATATATATATATATATATATATATTAAAGATTGAGATTATTTTTAACTTAAAGTTTCAAAAAGGAAGTTTATAATTTTTTTCTTATATAATACATAATTTTATCATTTTTATATAATATAAATATTAAAGATAACTTTATATAGTTTTTTTCTTAATATAAATTTTAAGATTCATTATTCCAACAGCATTCCCAGTATTCTCGGAGTCAACCTCACGAAATAAAGGGGTTCGGGTAGAATGATTAGTGCTCTGTGACACATCGGAATTGATTAACCTACCCTGTCCTACATTTATGTGTCCCCTTCATCTTCACCGTTGAAAATATTAAGGTTTTTTTAGAATATGATGATGGTGAAAAAGTGTCAAAACTTCATGAAGTGATTTTTCACAAAAGTTCATTTATTTAATATGATCCACTTTCAATCAAAAAGTATATTTGAAAATCTTGAAAAACAATTGGTCAGGGTGTAGAAAAAAAGATGACTAAGATTTCAAAAACAAAAAGAAATAAATCTTGAGCCGGTTTTAAGATACAAAATTTCTGAAGAAGAAAACAACACTTATAAATAATTTCAGGTTGATAGGAGAAATACAGATTAAAACAAGTGATGACAATGTAGATGATCAATGCTTAGGTGTGTAAATCTTTTAATTTAATCATTAAGCCCACAAGTTTGTCATTTTTTAAGGACAAAGAGAAATGCAAATGTGTAAGTGTTATTCATAGAAAAATAAATCGAGAAAAAAGTAATAAATAATGGTGGATTATTTGAATGAAAAAAGAAATATAAGTCTCATATTTCTAAAATATATGAAACTATTCGACTAAGAACAATTTCATGTTTCTACAAAAGGATTTATCTATTTTGTTAAATTGAATTTTGAAAAGTATTACTTATCAAAATTTTAACTTTTTTTTATATATATAAAAAGTGAGAACTTAATGATTTTTTTTCTTAAAAACAAAAATTTAATTGAGTAAAAAATAATATAAAGATCAAAATAAATTAAAAATTTAAATACAAGAATGACAATTCTTTTTAAAAAAGAATAAGAGTAAGTAAAATAAAAATGATGAAATGTTAAAGGTGGTGAAAGACACATGAATCTGAACAAAAACAATACATAAGGAACACAGAAGGAAAAACACCTTTCAAATAAAAAGTTTCAAGTTATTATAAAATATAGGTTTAACAATACATGGATGAAAGAAGCATGAAGGGGAATTTCAGGAAAGAAACCACAATTGAAATCAAATTAAAGAAACTCCAATCTGAGATTGAATGAATTGTGGTTCCTTTCCATCCAATTATTAGGCATTTCCCGTTTCTTTCCACAGTGCAGAAATTCCCACACTCAAATTTTTTGGTAACCAAGTTAGCTTGGTACAATGATGAATCGCTAAATGTAGTCTCCACCATTCTATACCTTGCAAAGAATCTTCTCCAAACATCTATCTTTACATCTCTAACCTTTCTTTCTCCATCTTCCATAGCAACAATGTTCCGTATCCCTTCTGATAATATTCCCTCAATTCGCATTCTGCACTCATAATCTTGCTTCATGCAGGTGTAAATGCAGTCAAAATATGCTGCATAGAAGAAAAATGCTTCAATGAAGCGATTCACAAAGGAGGGTGAATTGTGCTTTGCTTCCAACTCAAGAACTATCATTATAGTTGGTCTGATTTTTGTCATCACCCGCATCAAGTGTTCCAAAGAGACAAAATCCGACACCATCGTCCTCAGCATATAAGGAGAATAAACAGCTACAGCTTCGTCATCTTCAATTCCAAATTGCTCAGCCTTGATCTCTGTGAGCTTCTGACGAAAAACTATCTTATATAAAAAGGGCAAGTTCAAGGATTCAGCAAAACTCACTAACCTTTTCCCTGTTTCTTCCAGTCTGGTCTTACCTTGAAGTCCAATGGGCAGTTATCTTTCAGAAGCTCAAATTGCCTTTCATGCCTCTCAACCAGTGCTTGCATCAAAGGCTGTGCATTGCACCCCACATCCAATATCAAGGTTTATGAGATGGATTCTGGTTTGAAATGCCACATGTTCCACAATTGCTTGCACCCCAGCAAACTGCATTACTTGATTGAAAGGAATTTTTTCATGGCACGTAACAGCCATGTTAGTATCCAATCTTAGCTTCTCAATCATTTCCCTTTCCTTGTTTTTTTCACACTTGTTCAATGTCACTTTTCCTCTCGTTTGTCTTTTGATTCTTTCGAGAAGTGCTTGAGAGAAATGAAAGACAACTCTCTGAACGGGGCTTCCACCACCACCTGAGGAGTTCCACAGCAAATGGGAAAGTAGCATGCTGGCACGTTCAAATTGCTGGCACCCTACCCTATCAACAGCTGCCAGAAGAAACTGAGCGAGCTCCACGCTCTATTTTCTTCTTCCGATAAAACCTGAAGGCTCATTCCATAAGGGTGCACGGGGATGCAAATATCATGATGCCACTGTGTAGAGTGTTGAAGATACCTTGCTCCGGCCCAATCTTATTAGTTCTTCAGTTGATAACTTCTGAGGACTAAAGCAAGTTTCAACACTACACCTGATGTTTTGCGTCCCTAGCTTATTGAACCTGCTTCCATAATTTCTCAGGAGCTCTAATGATGCTAGAGAAGATGGCAGCACTTGTTTATCCTTTTGTCCCTTAGTTTCTTGAAAAGAAGACTTCTTTGGTGGCTGAACAGATTCGAAGTTGAACTCCTCTGTCATCACGTGATCAAAATCGAAACTACGTTGCTGCTTTTGAGTTTGATCTACGTGAGTATCTATCCCTGTTAGTTGCTCCGTTGTTGAAGAGAAAGTGTGCTCCCTTTGGAGCACAACATCCTCTCCTTGTATTGAGCCATAACCGCCAAGGAATTCGTTGAATTTGAAAGGTGTGAAGGAAAAAGGACCGCTTCCCATGTTGCGTTAGCTGAAATCTTGGAAGGGTATTTAACAATTAAACTCGAGAAGAAGAAATGAGTTAATAAAGAAAAATATCGACAAGTGGTGTTGCACAATCATTATTCATGGTCGGAAAGGAATATTTGTGAGGGGATATATAATATTTCTAGAAGAAATCAAATGCCGCCGTCATCCATGGTTGGTTTATCATTATTGAAACAAATGTTCGAATCAATACAAATTATGAGTAATACTTAAAAGTTTTAAACCGATAAGTGTTCCTAAGAAGTTCAGCCAGCGTGACGAAAGAGTTGAGGAAAATGATGGATGGCCTTTTTTAATTAGGGAGTGGCCATTTCCAAGAAAAGTCCCACAATACCAGACAGACTTTACCATGCACAAAAATACGAGAAATATGCTATAGATTGCTGATAGTATATCTCTAGATCCTTTGGCTAAGACTAAATTTGTCCTGCAGCAGGAACTGTGCTACATTATGAGATGTTTCCTAGGAATTTTTTGGTTATATTTATGGCCATATGTCTTTGTCTAGTCTGGTAGGATGCATATACGAAGGCTTTTAATTGTAAGACCATTTTGTTGAAACTAAAGAAAAAGAAGTACTTCTTCTTCTTTTCAATTAATACTTTGTTTGCATTATAGGGAGTCAAAAAGATGAAAATGGAGAAAAAAATGATGGAAAGTTAGATTGTTTAGATTAAAAAAAGTGAAGAAACACCAAAGAAAAATTGTGAAAGTTTGAGTTACCCGTACAACAAATTCCTTCAACGCATGACCTACATTACACCATTCCTATATTATTCAAATTCTATGCTTGAGTTTCCTACATGTCATTGCAGTAGTGAATTCGAAGTCATGGAAAAAGAGTTTACAAACAACTAGAAAATAGGCTAGATGATGAGGAGGTAAGTGGGTTTTTTTTGTCTGTGCGCCTAATTTTAAGGATGGAAACAAAAACTAACCCCACATGGTTTAAGAAAAATATAAGAAATTGTTGCAAAACCCAATCCGGGAATAACCTTATGGAACA